GGTTTCTATGGATACAACAGGGTATTCAAAATGGCGGACAAGTTGAATTGAAAGAATATTTCCTTCTTTCGGTCAATTTATGAACTTTCTGAAGGAAAATTATCTATTATTTACACTCACATGTACTTTTCATTGTCTTGCATTTCTGACAGTGCCCATTTGTAGTAAGTATAGAGTAATTTTATAGCATTAAATGCAAAGATGTGTATACCCATCTTTACGATATAAGGATGAAGAGAAACAAATAAAAAAGATGTATTCCTATCTGCCTCAACTGTTTTTTATTTAGTAAATTAATAAGGTATCACGTGATCAAATAGATCTCTGACTGCGCAGGTCATCAGTGAAGTTTCAGCGGGATTTTTGAATACATTGTAGTTTTGGAATCTGTAAGATATTTTTGTCGCACAAACACAAACACAAACACATCGTTTGTTTGTTAAAAATTACATTTGAAAGGTATTCGCTTCATAATGAGAAGTTGATCTACAAATGGCTGTGACATTTTTATCCCCAAATACATGTGGTTTTGCTAGAATTGCCGCGTTAGAATTAGCAAGGGAGATACCAAAATAATCGATTACAAGAGGAAAAGACGAAAGCAGCACCAAGTACCAGGCTCGAATCAAGCAGATCTACGAGGGTTTTCAGAATAGATTCGACGATTGTTCAGAGAAATTCTCCATTGAAGCTTTGCAGTTTCACAAAAGGTTACCTGGTTTGAGAAATGCCATCAATAAGTGGAACTTTAGAAAAGCTGATGAAAAGCAAAAGTACCTGGAGACATTCTCTCACAAGAACTGGTTAACAATGTCAACTAATCGAAAAAGAGAACATTCATTTATTGATTCTAAAGGCTGTGCGATTCGATATCCACACATTCAAGCTTTCTTTAGTGTAAAGTCATCTTTTTTGAAAGGAAAGCAAAGCAAAGTAATACAGTTCTAGCAGCTGTTAGAGAGATCAACAGGATCAGAGCACAAGAGCCATCCCCTCCAAAGCCCACACACAAAAACATAACAAATGCTGCGAAAGCAATCTATGATAAAGTGGCTCCACTGTTTGAAAAAACATATAAAGCTGATTTTGCTAAAAGTCTGTCAAACATTCCAGAGTTGGATTTACAATACAAAACAGCAAATAAAAAAAGGGAAGACAGAAGGAATCACTATCGCACTGTTAAGGAAAATAGYGTAGAAGAACAAATGTAGAATACTGCTTTTTGAGGTATATAATGTATTATGTGCATAAAATATTACATAATCATTTAATGCCAGGTACTAGATGACACACAGATCATACAATCGTGTGGCCTTAAATTTTTTGACATGATAAATAATATATATCTMATATACTTGTATTAGCTACATGCAAATATAATTTTTGTACATAAAGTGTAATGTACATGCAATTATCATAAGATGGGTCAAAATATCTGATATAAAAACTTACGACAATCTTCTAGATAAATTAATGTTCTTATGACACTTTCATTATAAGGTGCTACGGTGGCGGGCAGTCATTGAATGCATGGCAGCGTCATCGAATGGCATCATCTTTTGAGTTGAAAAAAACTGCAAAGAAAAGAAAAGCAGAAAATRATGAAAATCAAAATCCTTCAAAGAAAAAAAAGGATCACACAGGGAAATTTGGCACAATGGTCTGGGACAAAGAAAATTTAAAGAGTGAGATTGAAGACCTACCAGATGGCCATATAATTAATTACAGTGAATTGGCAAGAAGATTCAATGTTTGTGACAGTTCTGGCAARATAGCCTTAAATGGAGGCCAAATCGTGAAAGAATATTTAACTTCAGAAGGTGTGGACCTCTCTAGTTTGAAGATGTGTGTAAACAAAGATGACAAGAATCAAGTTATTAGGAGGAGAAAGAGAAAAGGCAAAGGTGGTGAAATAAGTGTTCCCACAGAGATTACAAGAAAAAAATTAAAAGAGAAGCTAAGGGATAAAATAGAGTCTGGAGAATACACCGTTGGTGAATTGATAGTCCCATGCAAGGTATAAGATCTATTTAACACTTAAGTGACATTACATTACTGCATTACAAGTTATTACTATAGCCTACTCAATCATGCAATCTAAAGATACAATGTAAATATTATTCATACTCTGATAGTGACATTGACTGTGCTCTACTTGACAGGTGGATCTAATGATTACCTTAAGTTCATTGGCAATCATTATGTTTATTGTACTGAGCAAAGTTTAAGATAGTCATTAATTTATATGTCCCAATTTACAGAATTTAAAATTACTAAAACTCRAAAACAAAAAAAATTTATGAAACAAATTAATACAATTCTTCTTGTTATAGCTTATGCATGATAGAAGCGGGTTCCCTGTGGAAGAGAGAGAAGGAGCTCGTGGGAATGGGACAGAGTTGTTATAGGGAAGAGTAGACAAGTTGTTGTTCTTAAAAAATGAATCCGGAATTCGAATGATTTTATCTTCAGGACAGCACATATGTGTAAGTATATTGATTCCCTTTTTCTTGGACAGAATATATTCTCATATAAGGTTTTGCAATTGTCATTCTAGCGAATCGTGAAAACCTGAACTCGTGAAAACCTGAACTCGTGAAAACCTGAAATCGTAAAAACCTGAACTCGTGAAATTAATCCTGCAGCGTGGAATTGTGAAATCATTGACTGACTGAACTCTGAATAAACTGATAATCTAGAACTTGAACGTCACGCATCTTGACTATAGTCCTCGAGATAATCTAGAACCACTACAAAATTCGACATATCGTCAAATCTGAACGAACTGATCGAGAAAGAAAACACAA